GTGGGTTACGCACACACTCGTATACACACACTCATATATACACACATATACACACTCATATATACACACATATATACACACATATATACACACTCATATATATACACTCATATATACACACACTCATATATATACACACTCATATATATACACTCATATACACACACTCATATACACACACACTCATATACACACTCATACACACACTCATATACACACACACTCATATATATACACACTCATATATATACACTCATATACACACACTCATATACACACACACTCATATATATACAAAGACAAAGATCCCCCATATAGCCTTAACAGACTGTAGGGGCAAGTGCTGTTAGCGAGCACCTATGAAGGCCGGAACGGTACACGAGGGGGTGGGTGGCCAGCACCACGCCCGACCGCCTTTGTCTCCCTAGTGGCAATGTTTACACACCGCAACAGGTACTCATTTGAGGCTGAGTCGACATAGGGGAGGCCCGGGACCGGTTCAGATAATCGTCACTGGTGTTGGCCGTGAGCGGGAATCGAACCCGGGTCGCCAGGTTCATAGCGCAGCGTAGCGCTAACCGCTACACTATCGCTCCCCACATATATATACAAAGATAACAAAGATCCCCCATATAGCCTTAACAGACTGTAGGGGCAAGTGCTGTTAGCGAGCACCTATGAAGGCCGGAACGGTACACGAAGGGGTGGGTGGCCAGCACCACGCCCGACCGCCTTTGTCTCCCTAGTGGCAATGTTTACACACCGCACCAGGTACTTATTTGAGGCTGAGTCGACCTAGGGGAGGCCCAGGACCGGTTCAGATAATCGTCACTGGTGTTGGCCGTGAGCGGGAATCGAACCCGGGTCGCCAGGTTCATAGCGCAGCGTAGCGCTAACCGCTACACTATCGCTCCCCACATATATATACACACACTCATATACACACACTCATATACACACACTCATATACACACACTCATATATACACACACTCATATACACACACACTCATATACACACACACTCATATACACACACACTCATATACACACACACTCTTAAATACACACACTCATATATACACACTCATACATACACACACTCATATACACACACACTCATATATACACACACTCATATACACACACTCATACATACACACACTCATACATACACACACTCATATATACACACACTCATATATACACACACTCATATATACACACACTCATATATATACACACTCATATATATACACACTCATATACACACCACTCATATACACACACTCATATACACCACTCATATACACACACACTCATATATACACACACTCATACACACACCCATATACACACACACTCATACACACACACACACTCATATACACACTCATATATACACACACACTCATATATACACACACTCTTAAATACACACACTCATATATACACACACTCATACATACACACACTCATATATATATATACACTCATATACACACACTCATACATACACACACTCATATATACACACACTCATATACACACTCATATATACACACTCATAAATACACACACTCATATATACACACACTCATACATACACACACTGTCATGTATACACAGTAGAACCACGCGACAGACGAGGTCAATTCAGGGTGTCTCAAAGAGATTCAACCAATTTCAAAGCGGTATATTGCACGATGGCAACACGTTACAATTGTTGTGGTGCAACTGACGACAATGAAACGGTTCTTTTGGTAGGGGCTGATGCCCAGGTTTATCAAGGGCTACTGCCGGTAACTTATTAAAGGCTTACCCCTAACAGGTGACAACCCTAATATCGGCCCCGGGGGAAAGGGTAACTGGGAGGTCCCCAGCTCCACCCAGGCTAGACGTGATCTCCCATCCCCAAGCACCGACCGAGGGATCATCCTCACTCGGTCGGCCGGGTGAAGTAGTCACTGTCGCCCGGCACTGATTCCCCCTACCCTCGACCCCGACTGCTGAACTCTCTCCGTCCCTGGCCCTTCGCGACGACCCCCCTTCTACGTCACGGCTTCCCCCTTATATATCCCCCGTAACTTGTGACGTCATCCCTTTTTTTCACCCCCCCCACCCTGAGTGACGTGACGTCCTCCACTACTCCTCGACGCAATTACACCGAATGGTTACAAACGCTTTAACGAGTTTATCGAGTTTTACCGACACACTTGATAATAAACGTGTGATGGGTTCCCGAGACACTTCGCATGGGGCGACCCCTTTACTGCAATGCAGCGCTCCCGACAGTCCTGATGCACTGTTGCAGCCTAGGTGACGCAGCCTACTCCTTAGCGTGCCGTGACACTGGCAACGCTCTGGGGGTCCTCCGGCTAACAGGTCCCTGCAGGGTGGGCTGGTAGGACAAGCCTCTGCGCTGTCTATTGCTGATTTTACACCCCGACAGCACGAGGTTTCACTTCGTTAAAGTATTGAAGGACGGACGGACGGACGGACGGACACATTAATCTATTGCAGGCTGGTACACTCAGTTTACAACTTCGCTGCTACCGGTATAAACTACCCACGGGGAGGCTGGCCCCTGACCCGACCCCGACCCGGCCAAGGTTTGCGGGGGGTCCAGACCTCCGGCTTCCCCGGCCCCTCGGCCTCGCGCGAGCGCGTCGGGTGCCCCGGGAGCCCCAGAGTCCCACCACGGCGCCCCCCCGGCACTCGCTAACGGCAGCGGGGCGATGGGGTTCCGGTTGTGTCCTAAAGGCTGGCGCCGAGGGGCTTAGCTGCGGATTGGGCCCCGTCCTACCGCTAAGCTCTGCGGCCCATCCCCGGCTCTGCGCGCCCGCCCTCCGCCTGCCGCTGTAACGGGCAAACCGTCGAGGCGATGATTGAGCTCGTCCCAGGCGCCTCTCGAAGCGACGTGTCTCCCCCGCTTCGGCTGAAGTCACCGGCTGCCGTGATTCTGGAAAAAAAGTCGCAGGGTGTGGCGATGATCTTGTGGGGGGGGGGGGTAAGAGTGTTAAGCGCCAAGCCTTGGGGGGGTCCCGTGCGACCTCTCCCAACGTCGAGGCGGTGTTGTCTTGCGGTGTTGTCTTGCGAGTGACGTGAGGCTGGGGGCTGTTTGTGCGCCGGGAGAGGCGTCTCGCGGTGATGATTTGAGACTCTGTGGCCCGCCCTCTCTCTCTATGCCCCGCCCTCTCTCTCTATGCCCCGCCCTCTCTCTATGCCCCGCCCTCTCTCCATATGCCCCGCCCTCTCTCTCTCTATGCCCCGCCCTCTCTCTCTATGCCCCGCCCTCTCTCTATATGCCCCGCCCCCTCTATATGCCACGCGCTTTCAAGTGGTAAGAGTTTCGTTCGTGGGCGGTTCGTGGTTGCAGAGATGCAGTAAAACCTCGGATTGTAAGCGATGATTCGTGCCGGAAACGTGTTTGTAATCCAAAGCGCTCGTACGTCAAAGCGCTCGTACGTCAAAGCACTCGTACGTCAAAGCACTGTTACATCAAAACACTCGTACGTCAAAACACTCGTACGTCAAAGCACTCGTATATCAAAGCACTCGTATGTCAAAGCACTTGTACATCAAAGCGCTCGTAAGTCAAAGCGCTCGTACGTCAAAGCACTCGTACGTCAAAGCACTCGTACATCAAAGCGCTCCTACGTCAAAGCACTCGTACGTCAAAACGCCCGTACGTCAAAGCGCTCCTACGTCAAAGCGCTCGTACGTCAAAGCACTCGTACGTCAAAGCACTCGTACATCAAAGCGCTCGTAAGTCAAAGCGCTCGTACGTCAAAGCGCTCGTACGTCAAAGCACTCGTACGTCAAAGCACTGTTACATCAAAGCGCTCGTACGTCAAAGCGCTCTTACGTCAAAGCACTCGTACATCAAAGCGCTCGTAAGTCAAAGCGCTCGTACGTCAAAGCGCTCGTACGTCAAAGCACTCGTACGTCAAAGCACTGTTACATCAAAGCGCCCGTACATCAAAGCACTCGTACGTCAAAGCACCCGTACGTCAAAGCGCTCGTACGTCAAAGCGCTCGTACGTCAAAGCACCCGTACGTCAAAGCACTCGTACGTCAAAGCGCTCGTACGTCAAAGCGCTCCTACGTCAAAGCACTCGTACGTCAAAGCGCTCCTACGTCAAAGCACTCTTACATCAAAGCGCTCGTACGTCAAAGCACTCGTACGTCAAAGCGCTCGCACGTCAAAGCACTCGTACGTCAAAGCGCTGTTACATCAAAGCACTCGTACGTCAAATCACTCGTACGTCAAAGCACTCTTACATCAAAGCGCTCGTACGTCAAATCACTCGTACGTCAAAGCACTCGTACGTCAAATCACTCGTACGTCAAAGCACTCGTACGTCAAAGCACTCGTACGTCAAATCACTCGTACGTCAAAGCACTCTTACATCAAAGCGCTCGTACGTCAAATCACTCGTACGTCAAAGCACTCGTACGTCAAATCACTCGTACGTCAAAGCACTCGTACGTCAAATCACTCGTACGTCAAAGCACTCGTACGTCAAAGCACTCGTATGTCAAAGCACTTGTACGTCAAAGCACTCGTACGTCAAAGCGCTCGTACGTCAAAACACTCGTACGTCAAAGCACTCGTATATCAAAGCGTTCGTATGTCAAAACACTCGTACGTCAAAGCACTCGTACGTCAAAGCGCCGTACGTCAAAGCACTCGTACGTCAAAGCACTCGTACGTCAAAGCACTCGTACGTCAAAGCACTCGTATATCAAAGCGTTCGTATGTCAAAACACTCGTACGTCAAAGCGCTCGTACGTCAAAGCGCTCGTACGTCAAAGCACTCGTAGGTCAAAGCACTCGTACGTCAAAACACTCGTACGTCAAAGCACTCGTATATCAAAGCGTTCGTATGTCAAAACACTCGTACGTCAAAGCGCCGTACGTCAAAGCACTCGTACGTCAAAGCACTCGTACGTCAAAGCACTCGTACGTCAAAGCGCTCGTACGTCAAAACACTCTTA